AAGACTGCTGAGTGGCAGAGATAAGCCACTTAAAGTGGATAAAACCACTTGTCTACCACAAGTGGTTTTAATTCTAGTTACTACAAAATATAATTATTCAAGCCTACCCACAGTTATGAGGATTGAAATTCTCACATTTCCAGTCATCTAGATAAGTAAAGAAGGACATTTTGTTTATTCGGTTATTTATATCAGCATGGACTCATGGATATGTCTTTTATTCTATGGGTTCTGGAATCCATTACTGTTGTTAATGGTTTTTATTGCTCAAACTGCTTCAGCTTTAACCCTCGGGAGCTCTCTCAGGTTGGTTTCTGTGTCCTTCAATGAGCTCTCATACTTTTTTGAGCACTTTTTCTCTTTCTGCCACCATAAGCCCTTGTGTTTCCCCTTCCCAGCACTGAAATCAACCACTTCTCCAAGAAACCTTGGTTCCTGTTATTGAAGAATGCTATTTAAAAGCAAAATCTGTGGTGCAATGGATAAGAAAAATAATCCAATCATATATTGCTTGCAAGAAATCCACCTTGTAAACTGGTAAATATACTTATAGACCGAAGGTAGAAAGAGGGTGGAAAAAGATATTCTATGCAAATGGAAACCAAAAGTCAGCAGGAGTAGCTATACTTAGATAAAACAGACTTTAAATCAACAACATTAAAAAAGAAGATAAAGATCATTATATAATGATAAAGAGATCAATTCAACAAGATGATACAACAATCCTAAATATATATGCACCTAACACTGGAGCTCCCAGATTCATCAGACAAATAGTACTTGACCTAAAATAAGAGATATACGGAAATACAATAATAGTGGGGGACTTCAGCACTCCACTGACACACTAGACAGATCATCGAGAATGAAGATCTAGAAAGAAGCACTGGCTTTAAATTGGACTTTAGACAAATGGACCTAAGAGACATTTACAGAACATTCTACCCAACAACAATAGAATATACATTCTCATCGGCACACAGAACATTCTCCAAGATAGACCTTATGTTAGGTAGGCCACAAAACATGTCTTAATAAACTTATTTTCAGTTTTAATTTTTTCAGGAGATGGGGTCTTGCTTGTTTTCCAGGCTAGAGTGTAGTGGCACACTCTTGGCTCACTGCAGCCACGACCTCCCGGGCTTAAGCCTAAATAGCCAAAGTAATCCTGAGCAAAAAGAACAAAGCTGGAGGTTTCATATTATTTGACTTCAAATTATGCTACAAGGCTGTATTAACCAAAACAGCATGGTACTGGTATAAAAATAGACACATATCTAATTTAGAAGGGTTAAAAAAAATAGACATATACATCAATGGAACAGAATAGGAAATCCAGAAGAAAAAGCCACATACCTACAGCCAACTGATCTTTGCAAAGCTGCCAAAAATTTACACTGGGGAAAGGCCCTACTCAATAAATAGTGCTGGGGAAATTGTATAACCATATGCTGAAGAATGAAACTGGACCCATACCTCTTACCATATACAAAAATTAACTCAAGATGGATTAAAAACTTAAATGTGAGACCTGAAACTGCAAAAATGCTGGAAGAAAATCCAGCAAAAATTCTTCTGGATATTGGCCTAAGCAAATAATTCATGAGTAAGAACACAAAAGAAAATGCAATAAAAACAAAAATAGACAAATGGGACTTAATTAAATGAAAAAGCATCCGCACAGCAAAGATATAATCAACAGAGTGAACATACAACCTACAGAATGGGAGAAAATATTTGCAGGCTGGGCATGGTGGCTCATGCATATAATCCCAGAACTTTGGGAGGCTGAGGTGGGATAATCGCTTGAGCCCAGAAGTCCAAGACCAACCTGGCCAACATAGCAAGACCCCATTTCTACAAAAAAGTAAAATTTAAAAATTAGCAAGGCATGGTGGCATGCACTGGTGGTCCCAGCTACTCTGGAGGCTGGGGTGGGAGGATAATTTTTGTCTTAGAGTTTGAGGCTACAGCGAGCTATGATCATGTCACTGCACTCCATGCATTCCAGCCTGGGTGACAGAATGAGATCCTGGGGAAAAAAAAAGAAGGAAGGAAGGAAGGAAATGTTTGCAATGTATGCATCCAACAGAGGACTAACATCCAGAATCTACAAGGAATTCAAACAATACAACAAGAAAACGACAAATAACCCCACTTAAATGTGGGCAAAAGACATGAACAGATACCTTTTAGAGAAGACATACCAATGACCAAGAAGATATAAAAAATGCTCAACATCACCAATCATCAGAGAGATGCAAATTGAAACCATAATGAGGTATCACCTTATACCAGCCAAAATGGCTGTTATACATATTATACATATAATATATACGTAAATAAAATGTACATACTGTGGAATACTACCTAGCTATAAAAAAAACGAAATCATGTCTTTTGCAGCAACATGGATGCAACTGGAGGCCATTATCTGAAGTGGAGTACTCAGAAACAAAATGTCCTGCCAGGCGCAGTGGCTCATGGCTGTAATCCTAGCACTTTGAGAGGCCGAGGCAGGCGGATCACTTGAGGTCAGGAGTTCGAGACCAGCCTGACCAACATGGCGAAACCCCATCTCTACTAAAAATACAAAAATTAGCGGGACGTGGTGACACACTATTTGGGAGGCCGAGGCAGGAGAATGACTTGAACCTGGGAGGTGGAGGCTGCAGTGAGTCAAGATTGCGCCACTGCACTCCAGCTTGGGCAACAGAGTGAGACTCCATCTGAAAAAAAAAAAAAGGAACAAAAAGTCAAATACCACATGTTCTCATTTATAAGGGGGATCTAAATAATGCATGCACATGGACACAGAGAGTGGAATAACAGACGCTGGAGACTTGGAAAGGTAGGAGGGTGGGAGGAGGGTGAGGGGTAAGAAATTACCTAATGGGTACAATGTACACTATTTGGGCAATGATCAGGCTTAAAGCCCAGCTATTCAATATATCCACATAACAAATATGAACTTGTACCTCCTAAATCTATGTTTTAAAAAAACTGAGCTCTAGATGGGCTCGATTGCTATGAGGATATCATTGCTTCTATGCCCTCTCAGTTGTCAGAGCTAGGAAAGATATGTATACATACGAACCCATGCATAAACCCAGAAATATTTACTTCTGTATCTGTTTTATGATACCAGCTAAGGAGAATTATATGAAAGTTGTTCCTCTGTCTTTACAACCTAGTATATAATAGGTTTACATAAATATTTGCTGAATTGAATTAATTAGAAAATTAGAGGAATGAAGTGATGTTGAAATGTATTTGAGGATTGAAAGGGAGAGCAAGATAAATGGGTCTTTGACAACTGGTGACACTGGAGGGGTTTGGTCTTGGATTCAGAAATCAAGGTTCAAAAACCAGCTCTTGCCACTGAGCCTCAGGACCTTGAATGAGTTGCTTAATCTCAATAGGCCCAAGTTTCCCATCTATAAGAAGGAATAACTGGGCCAAGTGATCCTTAGGATTCCTTTCAGCTTGGGAACATGAATCTGATTACACTGCTCACTTGCTTAAAGCATCTTTTTTTTTTTTTTGAAATGGAGTCTCACAGTGTCACCCAGGCTGGAGTGCGATAGCACGATCTTGGCTCACTCCAACCTCTGCCTCCTGGGTTCAAGTGATTATCCTGCCTCAGCCTCCTGAGTAGTTGGGATTACAGGTATCTGCCACCACACCCAGCTAATTTTTGTATTTTGTTAGAGACAGGGTTTCTCCACGTTGACCAGAATAGTCTGGAACTCCTGACCTCAAGTGATCCGCCCCCCTCGGTCTCCCAAAGTACTGGGATTACAGACATGAGCCACTGCACCTGGCTAAAACATCTTTTAAAGGCAGGTATTTTCTCTTTATTTTCCCCCCAAAGCCATAGTAATAAATATAATTTACAGTATAGTTTGTGGTGTGTGTATATAAACACATATGTATATACATATATGAACACATATGCACGTGCATAGATGTGCATATGTGTATTAGGGATTGTTTTGAGATAATGTAACAGAAATGTAACTGTGCCTTAAATAAGGTAGAAATTAACTTCTCTTTCACAAAACTTGACTTCTCTTTTACAGCCTAGGGCTGGGCTTTTCAGAGCTCAAACATCCCCAATACACAGCTTCCAACTCCAGGCCCAAGGTGGCTGCTCCAGTTCCTACCAGCATGTCTGCATCGCAGCCAGTGGGAGGAGAAAAAGACAAAGAGACAAAGTAGTGCACACCCATTTGTTTTAGGAGTGTGACCTAGAAGTGACACATGCCACTTCTGCTCACATCCCATTGGTCAGAACTTAGTCACATTTCTACACCTGACTGCAGAGGAAGCTGGAGAATGTAGTCTCTAACTGGGAAGCCAATGTGCCGACAAACACTCAGGGATTTGATTATTAAGATAAAGAACAGGAGAATGGATTGATGGAAAACTTGCAGCCTCTATTATGATATATAAAATGGAAGCATTTTTACAGGATGGCACTTTGTGTGTGTGTGTGTGTGTGTGTGTGTGTGTGTGTGTGTGTGTGTGTGTGATAACAGATCAATTTTTTTTTTTTTGAGGTAGAGTCTTGCTCTGTCACCAGGCCGGAGTGCAGTGGCGTGATCTCGGCTCACTGTAACCTGTGCCTCCCGGGTTCAAGCAATTCTCCTGCCTCTGCCTCCCGAGTAGCTGGGACTACAGGCACGAGCCACCACACCTGGCTAATTTTTTGTATTTTTAGTAGAAACAGGGTTTCAGCGTGTTGGCAGGATGGTCTCGATCTCTTGACCTTGTGATCCACCCGCCTTGGCCTCCCAAAGTACTGAGATTATAGGCATGAGCCACCACGCCTGGAGAACAGATCAGTTTTAATCCTAGCACCTGAAGCTATACAGGGTATGCTCTATAAAGTTCGTGGGACTGTTGTAGACACTTGATAAAGTGACAACTGTGCAATACCACTTAGTATCTAAAAATCAGGAACATACTATTGAATTGCTTAAACACAATCCACAGAATTAAAAACAAAATCAGATTTAATTCTCCATTAAAAGCTTACACTTAAAACTTTATATAACAATCAATATCTAGCAGGGAATATTGAAAGCGATTTCAGAGTCTCATCCTGTTGTACTCTATTGGGAAGGTGACACGTGACTGGCCAAAAATGGGTACAGCAAAGACCAGACCAGCAAGTAAAAGTTCTACCACAGTTTCTGTAGTTTCTACTTGTTTTCCTTTGTCAGATACAAGTCAACAGCTAGAATTAAATGCTTATCTTTGCAAATACACAAGGTATGCTGTGAAAGCTTATCTGCTTACAAACATATAAAAATACTTGTTAACTAGTTTGATAAAAAAAAGTATATAGCAAAAACATGAATCATCTCTGACCCCAGAAAGCTCAATTCCATGTTTATATTACATAAAAAAAAAAACAGTTTTGGTTTTTGAAAGCGATTTTAGAGTCTCATCCTATTGTACTCTATTGGGAAGGTTTCTTGAGTAGACACGTGACTGGCCAAAGATGGGTACAACCAAGACCAGACCAGCAAGTAAAAGTTCTACCACAGCTTCTGTAGTTTTCACTTGTCTTTCTTTGTCAGTTAAAGGTGAACAGTGAGAATTAAATGTTTATCTTTATATATACACAAGGTATGCTGTGAAAGCATATCTGCTTACAAACATATAAAAATAATTAACTAATTTGATAAAAAAAGTATAAAAGTATATAGCAAAAACATTAATCATCTCTGACCGAGAAAGCTCAATTTCATATTTTATATTACATCAAACAAAAACAGTTTTAGTTTTTTGAATCCCTTATTCAGAAATACTTGAAAAGGAAGACAGAAATTATTCATTTTTACCCTTAGCATGGCTGTGAAAAAAAGAGTTTTAAAAAATCAAGGGCCAGAAGCAGCAGGCGAGTCGAGTGTCTTTGCCCTTGGATCCGAGCGACCATGGTGGCCCGGGTGTGGCCGCTGATGAGGTTCCTCATCAAGGGAAGTGTGGCTGGAGGCACCATCTACCAGGAGCTGCTGGGGCCCAGTGACAAGAGCCGGGCAGCCCTACAAAAGGCTGGGGAGGTGGTCCCTCCCGCCATGTACCAGTTCAGCTGGTACCTCGTCAGCAGACAGGCCTGCAGATACCCCAGCTCCCAGCCCCTCCAAAGATTCACTTTACCATCCATGACTCCTGGAATGCAGGCATCATCATGGTGATGTCAGCTCTGTCAGTGACTCCTTCCACAGCCCGCGAGTACTCCAAGGAGGGCTGGGAGTAGGTGAAGGCACGCACCACGTAGCAAGTCAGCAGAGGCCGCCTGCCCCGGCCAGAACCACCAGGTCTGCCACCAACCTGAAGGCTCCAGACTGGGACCCCACTTGGAGGGCAGCTCCTGGCCCTGCCGGCCCAATAAAGGACTTCTGAAGTGGAAAAAAAAAAAAATCAAGTACACTGAAATGTCTTAAGTCCCGAATGAGTCCAAATATTTGACCATGTAGAATATTATCATCCTCAGGAGCAGGAGCAATAACACAGGCTTTTATAAACAGTTTTTAATCCATAAAGTCAATAGGCATTTTGGTATTTGGGCCACCAGAAAACAAAAGTTGCAATATCAGTCAAGATCTGAGATGTTTCACTTTTGTAGATTCAATTCAGTGTATTTAAGGTTAACAAAGGCTGACATTGAGATTTTCAAAGATAAGCAAAAATTCACATTTAAAAAAAATCCCTATATTTCTATTTAGAGTAACAGTAGGCAGTATGATTCCAAAAGTTAAAAATTATTTCACAACCTGTGGCTTCAGCTTGGCAAACAGCTTAGATTCCAAAACTGATTCATCTCTATTAACATGGAAGCACTTAAAAAAAGAGCGTGTCTGTGTATATAGACACATATTTTAAAGGAGTCAGATAGTCTTTGAAGCAGCCTTAGTGTTTCCTTTAAATTTGTCTGGCAGTGACCATTGTATTAGCTTCACTGAAAGGACTAGCCAGCTTCTTGGTCTAAGGCTAACATGGTGATCATTTGTCTAAGGCTAGAAAGGCACCAAACAAGATGTAAACTGAGGAGAGGAGGAGAAGATGAGGGCTTTTCCTGGCAGTCGGTAGCTAAGATGGAAAGGATTCTAGAAAATGACACAATGGCAGCCTTTCTTGCCTTTTTCTGATGAAGGAAGACATTCCTGCTCTTGAAATTTCCTGATAAGCCGGACAAGTTCATGGAAAGCTTGATCTACATTCATCCCAATCTTTGCTGATGCCTCCATATATGTTACCTTAAGTTGCCGCGCTAACTGCTGTCCTTCTTCCTGTGTTACCTGTCTTTGATGATCCAGATCTGCTTTATTGCCAATTAAAATCATTGGAAACTCATCACGACCCTTTACTCTGAGAATCTGTCTTTGAAACTTATAGATTTCTTCAAAACTGCCTCTATTTGTGACTGAAAAGACCAACAGGAAGCCCTCGCCAGTCCTCATACATTGTTCTCTCATGGCTCCAAACTCTTCTTGTCCTGCTGTATCCAAAATATCTAGCCGTGCTGCTCTGTCATCTATCACACACTGCTTTGTGTAAGAGTCTTCAATGGTTGGATCATAATCCTTTACAAAATAGGACTGGTTGAACTGGATGATGAGCGCCGACTTGCCCACGCCGCCCCCGCCGACCACCACGAGCAGGTACTTCTCCTGGCCGGAGCCGTCCCGCCAGCCGGCCGCTGCCATGGGGACGCCGCAGAGCGCAGCCGGATCGCGCCGAGCCGCCGCTGCCTCCCGCCCTAGGCCCGGCCGGCGGGCAGCGGGCGAGCGGCCTGGGGGGGGGTCCCCGGTCCCGGGAGGTGTCGGGAGGGCAGGTCCGCGCAGCAGCGCGGCGCCAGGAGCTGGCTGGGTACCGTCCGAGGCGCGGAGAAGCGGGGTGACGGCACGGGCCAGGGGCGGCAGCGGCCGGGGGGCGCGCTCCTCTACGCGTCTCCGCAGCGCCTCAGCACTT